TGCCCCGACTGCTCTATAGATATTCCAGCAAATTAATAAATAAAAAAATTAAAAACATCTAACGTTGGTGTGATTTTAACGCATATATTTATTCTAATAGATCATGTGTGAAACTGCCAGGATTAAGTGACTTATAAAAAGCATTACATAAATTTCTCGTTCATCATTCAGGCTTCCATGTTCTTGTTGATTGTCGTTTATTTTTAGTAATAAAAATCAATATTTCTGCATTTAGAATTTCCGGAAATACATTTTCTCATAAATTCGTAATAATTAATTTCAAACATTCAGCCTAGGGACCAAGAGAGAAATAATAAGGAACATTCGATTGCACGACGACGATAGGACGTAGAAAGTAATGACGTCACTAAAAGTCATCGGCGCATGCGAGAACGTTAAGTTCTCGTCGCCTGGTCGTGGATTCTAGGACGCAATTTGGCCAAATCTTTGTATGCAGAGAACGTAGGACGCCCGGTAGGACGGTCTTCTAGCGTCGCTTCGTCGCGCAAATCGAAAGCTCTCTACGTCTTTAAATGTGGACGACGATCCTAATGGCATTGTCAATGGTTGGGTTGTATTTACAGTAGTGCATACTACATGGTCCATACGCTATAATAAATAAAGTTAGACCGTATTACTTAAAAGGCCAGAGTTTCTGGGAGCCTCACTCTAGGGTCTCACGTGACACGGACCCTCGTCGTCGGGGCCAAATAGTAGGGCTTCCCCTGAATTATGTCCACATTGGGAACATGTGTTACTAGCCGTATTACAATAAAGTTAGGTATTTAATCTGTATGCATCCATTTAGTGCGGGTGCCGCCGATTGTAAGTCGTGCTTCAACTTCATTTTTAGTGTTAGAATCTGTATGTAAACCGAGTAATAGTAAATCCGAATAATTTGAACCTACACGCTATTACAGAAATTGAATTAAGAATCAACTCATACAATGAAAGAAAGGATAATTTCTTCATGTATCATTTTTTCACTTCAACAGCACAAGGTATCAGTTTAATAATCAAATTAATATTTGACACAGATAATATTGAAAATGCAATGGATAGGATCACTAACAGCATTTAATTATCAAGATTATATCTAATATTATTTATATATTTTGATATATGTAATTACTTTTACTTACGCTGCAAGTTGTTAGCTTTCAACTGATATTTGGAATGCAAAAAATAATGCTCTAAACATATAATGATCAAATACATTATATTATACCTGTCCTAGATTCTTCTGCATATGCCATCATTTGCTGGTATTGTTCAAAATAGTAAGTTATTGATTATTTAAATGGGATATTTAATGCCGTTATTATGTTCATGCGTTTTGTTTAAATAATATTTCTCATTGGTCAGTTTATCATAAGCTTCACTTATAAATATTCTACTCTCACTGTATTATGTATCACTTGAGAAAGACCTATGGTCGAAAACGTTCGTGAACATCTATTTCAAATAAATTGAGGCAAATTAACCACCTCGTCAATTTTTTTATTGAATATATACATTATACATGTATACATAAATAAATATATATATATATATATATACACATACAATTATGTACATACATATATATACATACATATACATACATATATATATATATACAGTATATATACATATACATATATATATACATATACATACATATATACATATACATATATATATATATATACATATACATATATATATATATATTTATATACATCTTTTATTCAAAAATTATTGATTTGTGTACAATTTACTGTACAGCTTCTGTTTAAGTCCTGCGTGTATACAGTTAACAAATCAAAACTAAAACAGATCATACCACTTATTTCTATTTTTGCGATATCTCTTAAAACATTTAAATCTTCGGAATCAGTTAACTTAAATGTTCTAGAACTTAAATAGTTTCTAATAATTCATGCAATATCCTCCACTATTTCATGTAATTCAATTTAATTCTGAAGGTCGTTGCCTTTTTTACTTATGTAGTACTAAGAATGTTTTTATCTATATCTATTAAGTTTGATGTTTTTTATTACACTTCAATTTGATGTCTTTTATGACCACGTTGAGCATATTGTTTGTAATGAAATTATTTAGCTCAGTATTTCCTGAACTGAACAATAAGTTTGGGATTTTGAATTTTGAATTATATAAATGTCATCATCCTTATACTCACCATCATCATCATCATCTATATTATCATCACCATTATCATCATCTATATTATCATCACCATCATCATCATCTATATTATCATCACCATCATCATCATCTATATTATCATCACCATCATCATCATCTATATTATCATCACCATCATCATCTTCTATATTATCATCACCATCATCATTTATATTATCATCACCATCATCATTATCTATATTATCATCACCATAATCATCATCTATATTATCATCACCATCATCATCATCATCTATATTATCATCACCATCATCATCATCTATATTATCATCACCATCATCATCATCTATATTATCATCACCATCATCATCATCTATATTATCATCACCATCATCATCATCTATATTATCATCACCATCATCATCATCTATATTATCATCACCATTATCATCATCATCTATATTATCATCACCATCATCATCATCTATATTATCATCACCATTATCATCATCATCTATATTATCATCACCATCATCATCATCTATATTATCATCATTATCCTCATTATCCTCATCATCCTCATCATCCTCATCACCTTCATCATATTCACCATCTTAATCATCACCCTCATGATACCGTAAGACCTCGAATTGTAGCCCTGTGATTTTATTTTTTTCATTTTTGCGAACTTACTTTGTCAATTTGAAATAGTATCTTAATTACTTTTTTTTTCGGGCGCCACTATTGTAAAGCTCTGCTTGTTTGTGGTTGCCCTTTCCAATTCCATTTTTATATATATGTACTGTTTATCTATGCTTTGAAAAGATTTGGAATAAATTTATTTTGAATTGAAAAAAAACTTTGGATGGGCTTCTTTTCAAGATGGGCTTCTTTTCGAGGCTACCTTTGCAAAGTAAAGAGGAGGCTTCTTTTCAAAATGAATGCTGTAAATTTCAGGAATTATTACTATGAAGCAATAAATAGGGCCACTGTAGCATCAATGTATCATGGAGTGATAAACCGGAATTAAATTACCTAAACTACTGTATAAACCAAGCGTATAAACAGAAGCCTGTTATCTTGAAAAGAAGCCCATGGACTTCTTTGCGAGGCTAATTTTGCAAAGTAAATAGTGGGCTTCAATTCGAGATGGGTTTCTTCTCGAGATTAAGATTGGGCTTCAATTTGACGTTTTACAGTATCATTTATTTCGTCGATAAAACATACAAAAGACAAACAAGATACAAAATATAAATACAAAATTTGAAAAAAAAGAATAAAAGTTTAACAATTAAAAAACAAACTCAACTGGACTGCTCATCTTTCTCATCATCTTCTTCATCAGCTTCATTATCATCATCATCGTCATCATTATCCTCATCATCATCCTTATAATCATCATCATCTTCTTCACCATCATCAGCCGCATCATCTTCTGCATCATCATCTTCTATCATCATCATCATCATCATCATCATCATCATCATCATCCTCATCATAACAATCATCCTTCTCCTCCTCATTATTATTATCGGATCCATGATCAAACTAGCACAAGTTGTGCAACCTCCTCCACTCCATGGGAATATTCCTAGTCGTGCCTGCAATTTAATGCCGATATAGACTAATACTTGCAATGCCACATCACCCTATACTCCAGGGTAGAAAAAGGCAAACGCAAGTGAAGTGCCTTGCCCAAGGACACAAGAATTGCGACGAGCGTCGGTAGCCTCGAAATCCCGATCAGAAGTCCAACACCTTACACGCTGCGCCACACGCTCCCACAAAATCATCATCCTCACCACCATTATCATTATTATCATCATCATCGCATACATTATTATTTGTGTTACTATTTTGCAGAGCGCTCGACGTAGTACGTTAATATAGTGATTTCCTGTTATTATTATATATATAGTATTAGTAATATAATGTGATATTCCCGAATGCAAAAATATAAAGCAATACAGCAAAGTCGTGAAAGATACTGACAGCTGAAACACCATTACTGCTCTTCCAATCAGAATTTTTTTATTCTTTAAGATATCGAATGATGCAATTCTATCGTCACAATATCAACCAATATTTAAATTCGTTAAAATCAGCCATAAAATAAGGTAAAATATGTCTTCAGCAGGAAATTACGGTTTATAAATCGAATTTATATGCAGCAACAAAATATGGTTGTAAATTTAATGGTATTATTGGATAGAAAATAATACGGTAGCAGCCGGTGTAAATCCCCCAACCCCATTCCGCCTCCACTGTCGGTACAGAATGTGATGTGATTGTGTGCACACATTTCGCGCGCGCCTTTCAATTATTACATGCATCTGATGATTATAGAAAAAATACACCACTTTACAGTATATCATGTGGTTCTAATGTTTACAATATTCTATAAACATCACTTTCAAAATCACCTACATACATTGCAGCACTTATAACACTATTTCATGAGGATCAGAGCGCTTAACACTACAGTGATAGCCAATCCAGGGGGTGCTCTCCCGGCGTGTGGGCATCTACCTTTTGTTTGAAGTAACGTGAACAAATAAAAATAGATTAAAGTAAATGGCAAACTATTGTTGGGGGTCAACAATCATAATTGTTTCCGACTAAATTTCAAATAATATAAAGCATTAATTTTTCGGAAAAAAAGTTTCTTACATTCTTAAAAATTCTTATTTTCCACATAGCCCTAATAATAAATAGAGGTAGGAGGTTAGGCCATTGAGTCTAGCGTATAGGCCAGGCCTATTGTTAATCTGTGTAAGTGTCGGGATAATAAATCTGAGACGCTCTTCATTGGTGATTAAGAAATGAATACAATGTACGTTGTAATTACTTACCCATTGGTAGGAGCTACTCCAATACAAACCACAGCGAAGAGCAGACTGAATAAACAGCGTTGTCGATCCATTTGCCGTCATCAACAGGAACGAATCGTCTGCAGAGTTATTCGCCGTCTTTAACCATTGTACGTTAAATGTCTTATGAAGCGTGCGTGTCTGTAGCCATACTAGTAATTCGATTCGAAGATTGCTGAAACACCGTCTTCTCTTTCCACGCGGGAAAAATACCCGTGTCCCTAATTCAGTTTTGCTTATTGATTAAACAGTCCTGGGAGCCAATTTATCGTCTGCTAAAACTGTGACATGTTTCCTCTCGATATTACAACTCCGCTGGTTTTTATCCTTGTCCAATCGGCGAATTAAATGCCGAGCAACGTGCCCACAGCGTGACGTCATGCCAGTCACGCTGCCAATATATCGAATGTGATTGGATATTCAGTTATACTTGTTTCCTTCATTAATCACCATGTTGATGAATATACAAAGAGTTATTGGCAACCGTTTTATATAATATATCTATGTCAATGAAATAGATGCTGCACATGGGAAATATTAATGGATTAAATGACAAAATTAGCAAATCGGAGAATGTATCTTTTCACTTTTTCTTCCAACATTTCCAACAATTTGCCAACCATTAAAATTGAAGAAATCGGACGCGTTATAAGAAGATGACCGATGAGAATGTTGTAACGCACAGTGTACATTGATTGCTCGTCGCAAGTTTCATTCTAGTATGAATAAGATTTTGTGAATTCGATAACGAACGAACAAGGATACACTATACAAGCATTTTCGTAATACGTGGTTGCAGCAAGTGTGTTTCACTCTTGACAGTGAATAAATACAAACTAATTGCACACGCAGACGATATCAAACAAGCAGACAATATCAAACGCAAACGCGAGAGAAAAAAAAAACGAAACGACAAACCGATACTATTTTCGTTCTGTAGGCTACGTAAGGTCGGTAAAGAAAGTATATAATATAATATAATATAATAT